TTGCCCTTGCCAGAAGTTTAGTAATCCATCATCTCTGATCTCTGTGCTGGAGATGTTTGCCAGAGAGGCTTCAAGTAAAACCAGAGATTGAGCCACTAACTGAAGAACTCTGGCAGCATAAGAGTAGCAGGGACTTCCCAGGCGGTCCAGTGGTTAGGACTTCACCTTCCAATGCAGAGGGTGCAGGTTCGATCCCTAGTCAGGGAGTTAAGATCCCACATGCCTTGGGGCCAAAAAACCAAAACATAAAACAGATGCAATATTGTAACAAATTCAATAAAGACTTTAAAAATGATCCACATAAAAAAAAAAATCTTAAAAAAAAAAAAGGGAATCAGAGCAGAACATCAGGAGGATGGGAGTTTAACACCTTAAACCCCTCAGCAGAGCCAGGTGGCTGCATTTTTCTTGGGTACTCAGCCCTGGATAAATCATAATGCTTGATTGAGGGTATTTTTTACTGTTGGCCCATGCAGGGCTCACTGTACACAGCTCACAGCCTAGTTTCAGTAACATAATAAGTCTGCATAAACCTACCACTCAAAACAAAAGCTATTTAGCAATAACCCTCATCTAACCAGGAGATCTCCTTGCTGAGGTAGGGGAGCAAGTCTCTTTTGTTTATTAATTCAACAAATCTTAGTTGTACATCTTTGACAGGCCAGAAAGGGTGCTAGAATCAACCTGAATCCCATGTTCATAATTTCCTTGCTTTTTTTGGAAAAGATTCTGTGTTCTATGAAATATTCTGGGAGTTAATTTTTCCTTTAATGTGAAATGGCTCAAGCCATTGGTATTACTTTGTGGCACTATAGTTTGTGTGTTTTGACGGCAGCATAATAGTCTATTGTGTGAGTTAACAGCCAGCTTCTTCAAGGCTAGCTTGGGACTGAGCCCTGAAACTGCAATCTTTTCCTTAATTTTTTCATTCAGCAAAGATTTATTAAATACCCACAATGTGTCAGGCATTGTAGGAGACACCATGGGTGCAGTCATGACCAAAACAACCACAGCCTCTCTCATTCTAGTTTGCAGACTTTTCTCCCTATTTTTCTTTGTTTTCTAAAAGGTATGGCTTTTTTTGTATAATGACCACTATTCAGTTGATAGCGACAGAAAGCATATTAGCCAGGAGTACTGAGGTCACTTCAGTTCAGAGATGAGGAATTCAAGGTCCCAGCAAGTACAGACTGAAAGCCTCTTTTGTTCCTTCTCTCTCTCAGCTTCTAGCACAATTCTGGACCCACCAAAGGCAAACAGTCAATATTTGTTGAAATAATAAACAAAAGAGACTCGACCTACCTACTTCAACCAACGCAGACATTTATGTGCAGGCAGACTCCGTGAAAAAGAAGGAATTGACAGGGGACTGGCCACTAACTGGATGTTCTTGATACTCCTCCAAACTGCCCCTCCCATAGCCTTCCACGTCTCAGCATATACCCTCTTACCTGTTCACTAAAAACCCAAAAGCGTGCAATCTATTAGTAAGGCCTATTGCCTTTAGGCCCTGGAGAAGGGCATGGCAATCCACTCCATATTCTTGCCTGGAGAATCCCCATGGACAGAGGAGCCTGGTGGGATACAGGCCATGAGTTCTCAAAGAGTCAGACATGAGTGAGCGACCAAACACACATTGCCTTCAGGGGCCTCCCAGGTGGCGCAGTGGTAAAGAATCCGCCCGCCAACACAGGAGACACAAGAAACTCAGGTCAACTCGGGATCAATCCCTGGGTCAGGAAGAGCCCCTGGAGGAGGACATTGCAACCCACTCCAGTATTCCTGCCTGGAATACTGAATACTGAATACTTCCACTGGGATACAGTGGAACCTGACAGGGCTACAGTCCAGGGGGTTGCAAAAAGTCAGACTTGACGGAGCGACTGAACACACACACACGTTGCCTTTATCTTCGAAGCACAGTTGGATCTTTCACCAACCATCTATTTATCCCTCCTTGCTGTAGCCACACTGATCTCCAGTCTCCTCCTCCAGCACCAAGCTTATTCCTGCCTGCCTGGCAACTTCCGGTCATTCAAGCCTCAGACCAGAGGCCCTCCCTAAGCTGATCACTTCCCTAGATCTCCCATTCTCAGCACACAGCTGGGCACTGTCTCCCATCACCCGCATTACTCTCCACATAGCACCCGACTCTCTCTGGGTTTATCTGTTGATGGTCGGCTCTCCCCTACCCTCCCCTACTCTCCCCCGACTCCCCCACCTCCTCCTCACCCCAGGATACAAGCTTCTCAAGAGCAGGGCCCCGCATATCTTGTTTGGTACTTCTCCCATCCTTGCTGTAATGATTTTTCATTTGTCTTTAAATCTGCAGCTCCCAGAGCAGTGCACAGGCCCTCAACAAATATTTGTTTAATACTTAGGTATTGAACCACTCTGGTTATCAGACAAGTGTTGTTTCTATTCACCTTTGTATTTGACTGAATTAGACAAAGGAATTTTGTAGACCGTTACTTGCTGATTGTGTGTAGATTACTGTTGGTAACATCACCTGACTCTGTAGCTACCAAAACTGAGGGAGTCACCAGATTTGTTCTCATCCTCATCCTGGAATGTAGTTACTGATGCAAGCCCTGGTGATGGTGGAGGAGAGATGGCCCAGAAGGAACTACAGTACAGAGCCCAGAAATTTAGCAGTCATTTACTGGGCCTCTACTAGGTACAAGCCAGATGCAAAGCACTGAGGGCTCAAAGGCAATAAAAAATAGAGACCACCCGACTGGAGAGTTCCCAGGGTAGAGTCCTGAGCCAAGCGTCCGGAGGCACAGGGTGGAAGGGCCGGGAAGGAAGCCGCTCTGTGAACCAGGCACTTCCCACTGGATGTCTCACAGCAGCACTTTGACGCAGGTATCATTTTCCCCACTCTACCGAGGGGACGCCTGAAGCTCAGAGAGGTTAAGTATCCTGCCCAAAGGCTCACAGTTAATAGGAGGCAGGGCCCCTGTTCCAACTTGATCCCTGCAGAGCCTTGACCATCTCTGCTGCATCCCCCAGCTGCCCATGGCCTAGTGCCCCCATAGGGCAAAGCCAGGCACAGTCCCCACAGCAGACCACAGAGTTGAGGAAGAAAGGAATAAGCTCCTTCTCCCAATGACTGTGTCTGACGTGGGAGCAGGCAGCTCCCAGGGACCCCACAATTTCTAATCTAGATCACCCACCCAGGCATTAGAAGAGTTCCTCTCAATCCCCAGTGGGACTCGGGAAATTCCAGCTGGAAATGTCCAGGGACCTGCAGCTTTCCCACCTACTCTGGAATGGCTGTGACCTCAGCCAGTGGGCAGGTGAGCCTGAAGGTGGAGACCTAGATCTCACCCCACCCAGGGACTCCAGGTCATGTGCTGGACAAGGAAAAGGAAGAAAGAAAAGAGAATTCACAGGACGCACATGAACTTAGGCAGCACCCTCCCCTAGCCTCTGCCTTACAGGAAAGGGTGCAAGTACTTTGCATGAGAGTCTTTGTGTATGTATTTTTATATGTGTGTTGACAAGACTACACTCGAAAAAATAGTGTCCTGGTTGCTTTTTGTTTCTGTCTGTTTATTCTATTGAGTATAATATATGTTCAGTAAACTACTCAAATCTAAAATGTACAATTCAAAGAATTTTGACCCATGGGGGGTCAGTGGTAAAGAATTCACCTGCTGTGCAAGAGACTCACGTTCAGTCTCTGGGTCAGAAAGATGCTCTGGAAAAGAAACTGGCAACCCAACTCCAGTATTCTTGCCTGTGAAATCCCATGGACAGAGAGCCTGGCAGGCTACAGTCCATGGGGTTGCAAAAGAGTTGGACACAACTTAGTGGCTGAACAACAATATACCCCAATGTAACCAACGCTTAGATCAAGATCCAGTTTTCCAACGTTCCAAAAGGCTCCATTGTGCCCCTTCCAATAACCCTCATTATAATCACTATTATGATTTCTATCACCATGGATTACCTTTAGCTTATAATCATATATATGAAATAATACTCTTTTGTGTCTATAGTTTCTTTTTTTATTATTATTATGTCTTTGAGATTACTCCATGTGTCATTGCATTTTGCACTAATTTATTCTTGTCTATTGCTGAATTATATTCCATTATATGAATATACCACAATTTACATATCTATTCCACCAGAGATTGATTTTTGGGTATAGTATAAAGACATATACAGGTATTTTGCTGAACAGATGTACTCATTTCTCTTGGCCCTAATTCTTGGTCATAGAATCATAGAAGAGTCATTTGTTTAGCTTTAGTAAACTCAACTAAACCTTTTCCCAAGATATTTGTACCAACTTACACTCACGGCAGCAGTGTGTGAGATTTCCAACTGCTCCACATTCTCATCAACATTTGTTATTGTCAGGCTTTTTAATTTTAGCCACTCTGGTGTCTGTGTAGACATGGATCGTTATGGTTTGAGTTTACATTGGCCTGGAATTCCCTGGTTGCCCAGTGGTTAGTACTCTACACTTTCAGTGCCAAGGGCCTAGGTTCAACTCCCGATCAGAGAACTAAGATCCCACAAGCCGTGTGGCATGGTAAAAATAATAATAATAATTTACATTAGGCTGATGAGTGATGATATCAAGCATCTTTTGGCACTTAATTGGCCATGGAAGTATCTCCTTTTGTGAAGTGTTTGTTCAAGTTTCTATAGAATCATATCATCCATAAAAGTAGACAAATGATTGACAAAAACATAGAAGAAAGCAAAATCATCTTAGAAACTCAGTAAAACACACAATAGCCCAGCAGCCAGTTGCTTCTATAATTGATAAGTAGTTGCTACAAATAGTAAACCTGCTGTACCAGGTCATTTGAATACATAACTGATGTTTATATTTTGAACCAATTATTTAGATATCATGGAGCCCTCCAACTTAGACTTAAATGGGAAAAGAGAATATAGCTAAAAGCCCTTCCCTCAGCTCATAGCCCCAGACTAAGAGGCTCCCTCGCTTAACTCACTGACTGTTTTTCCTTCAATTACAGGACCCTGAGATCAATGAACCCCTGAACAGCCTCGGTAAGCTCAGGTCTGGCCTTCCTTTGTCTACCTCAGCCTCAGTCAGCTACCAAGTAGATACTAAACCCCTCTTGCAGGACCCTCACCACCACCTCCAAGTGCTAAATGCTATGAGAGACACCCATCCATCATTCAACAAACATTTATTGAGCAAGAGCAATCTCCAGGATTCATTCTATTAACATAAGTAGGAGGCACAGTCTCTGAGGAAATAGGACCAACAAACCTAAAACCCCAGTGGCACTGATTCTCTAATTCACTCATTCAGTTCCTCATTCTCTCATTCCTTCAACAATACTGTGAGAGCCTGCATGGGCCAGGCCCTGGACTGGACACTGAGCTACAGTGTAAATACACAGCTAATGTCCCTGCCCTCATGAAGTTTACAGTCTGACCATGCTGCCGAGGAACAACCTGAACAAAAGTGTTTTCACTAGTAAAATAGAAAATGGGAGGGACTTCCCTGGCGGTCCAGTGGTTAAATCTCCACACTTCCACTGCAGGGGATGCCAGTTTGATCCCTGGTCTGGGAACTAAGATCCCACATGCCATACAGTGCAGCCAAAAAAATTTTTAATTAAATTGTAAAAAGTAAAATAAAAGCAAAAAATAGCATAAAATGAAAATAGCAGTATTTGCCTGACTTACAGCAGAAAAAAAGGAGTTAATAGATAAAGTCTTCCCAAATATGGAGGGATTTTTTTTCCTCTTGTTCCATTTTCTTAAATTATTGATACCTATGCCTAATAGCCTGGATCAGCAAAAAAAAGTGAGCAGAGAACAAATATTAATATGACAGGTTCATAAGGAAATGACCAAACCCACTTACTTTGACAGCTTATTATTTCAGGGTCATAGGTTAACAAAGATCACAAACAATACAATCTTCAGCAGGTAAAATGATGCCTAATTCCTACTTTGCAATTTAACATTCCAATATTCCATGGTATCCCCAAAGAACACCAGACATACAAGTGCTCCATCACCTGAGTAAGCCTGGGAACTGCTAAACCAGAAAACAATTAAGGGAGCCAGGAGGGAGAAATCAGTGCCAAGTAAAGATTCCGAGGTTAAGAATGATAACAGGTTGTGCAAGGACCAGGGAGTGAACCTGCTTATGTGGAATGGGATCTGGCGAGGACTAGCAATGGGAATCCATCTGACTGACTGGGAGAGGGAGGCCAAATTACACTGGATTTGAAAGCCCAGAGGAGTGTGGTCCACTTATGGAAGTTGTGGGGAGCCTTTGTGGGTTCTGGAGAGGGACATGATAGGATGAAAGCAAAGTATTGGGAAGCTCTGTCTAGCAGCAGATGGCCAGACAGGCTGAAGGAAGGAACTCAGGCAGGCAGGGAGGCTGTTCATAGGTCAGTGGGTTGGTTAATTTTATAAACAGTAAACTTTATAGACAATAAACCAGGAAAACCCTTCCCTTCATGATGATGTTCCCCATGAGAACATCAGGGAGGCAGAGACACTGGGTCCTGGACAAGGGTACTCATCAAAGAATTCCCAATAAGTCATTCACTTCTGGGAAAACCAGCCAACCTTGTATCCTCAGAGGTAAGTGCTCAATGAAGAAATTGCACATGAATGAAGAAACAAAATGTCTCCATGTCCACGGCCACAGGAAAGAGGACAGTTTTGAACACTCACTGCTGGAACTTGATAAACAATACCCACTAACATTATTAATAACCTACTCTGTTGCCAGGTGGCATTAGTGGTAAAGAATCCACCTGCCTATGCAGGAGGCATTAAGAGACGCGAGTTCAATCCCTGGGTCAAGAAGATCCCCTGGAGGAGGGCTTGGCAACCTACTCCAGTATTCCTGCCTGAGCAATCCCACGGACAGAGGAGCCTGGCAGGCTACAGTCCATAGCGTCACAAAGACTTGGACACGACTGAGCCAGTAAGCGCACTGGACTGGACAAGCACGTGCTGTGCTGGCAGCCCCGCACACCTGGGGCTTAGAGTCTCAGGAAAGAGGCTGCCTGCACACGTGCTCAGTCATGTCCGACTCTTTACAACCCTGTGGACTGTAGCCCGCCAGGCTCCTCTGTCCATGGGATTCTCCAGGCAAGAATACTGGAGTGGGTTGCCATGCCCTTCTCCAGGGAATCTTCCCAACTCAGGGATGGAACCCCATCTCTTAACGTCTCCTGCATTGACAGGCAGGTTCTTTACCACTGGAACCACTTGGGAAGCCCAGGAAAGAGGTCACATGACAGGAAAAGGAAAGGGGATGGGCCTCTCCTGGGGCAGACGCAGGTCAGACTGGACAGGGTAAAACATCCTAGGACAGGCTGTCATGACAAAGGGAAGGCGCCAGGCGGGAGGAGCCCTGGGAGAGATGGACAAGCCCAGGTAAGTGAAAGGAGGTGGGGGTCCACGCAGTGAGGAAGCTGAGCCTAGTCTGGGAGAATAACCCCAGCGCCAAACAAAACTGTCCCCAAAGTTTTCCCGGGGCCAGAGGGTGGGGAGGCTGTAGGCCTTGGCAGGGGCTGCCTCCGAAGGTTGACTGCTCTTCCCCTCTCTCTGCAGATGTCACCCCCCTGCGCAAATCCCGCACCCCGCTGGAGACCTTCAAAAAAATGAGGATCCCAATCATCGCAGCAGTGCTGAGCCTGGCAACCATCATCGTGGTGGCCATCCTCAGTAAGTCCCAGCCCCCACCCAGCCTCCAACCTCACCCCAGCAAGGGGTAGCTCCCACCCACCCCTCCCCTGCCCTCACCTCCCAGCGCTGCTCACCCTTCCCCCCACCCCACCCCAGCAGAGTCAAGGGGAGGTGATGTGCATATAGGTTGGAATCCACCCCTGCTTTAAAAGAAGCCTTCCTCTCCGAGTGGAGGGGAGATGAACTCCACCCCCATCTATCCCAGATGGATTCTGTCCCAGATGATTCCTTCTGCCGGGAAAGCACACTTTGCACCAGTTACAAACCCACTCAGGCAATTTGCACAGCAGCCGTGCCCCCAGCCTCCTCCTTCCCGGGTCTGCAGACTGAGAGCTGAATGAATTCTGGCAGCTCTGGGCCTGGAGGAGCAGAGCACGTCTGCTTGAGAGGAGGGGGAGAAGGAAGAGGCTTTAGGGAAGATGCCCAGGAGGGCAGCGCCTTCCCCCGCCTTGAGCTCTGGCTTCACCATGGCTGGAGCCTAAGACCCAGTGTGATCCAGGCAGGCCACTCTGGGGCAAAAGATGAATGAGTCGAGCAAGCCCTGTTTCCCAGAGCCTGTCCCTCTCAACCTCCCCCACACCCCATCCTATGACTGAGCCCTCACCTCCACCCCCCACCATAGCCAAGCAGGCTACTGACCACAGATTTCACCCAGGAAGTAGGGCCAAGAGGACCTGACTAGGACTCAAGACACGTGGGATGGGGATCCCAGTGCTGCTCCTTCTTGGTGCTGTGTGACCTTGAGTAAGTCTCCCAACCTCTCTTAACCTCAGCTGCCTCGCCTGTAAAATATCCTATCTTCATCATAGCAATATCAGAGAACCAATGAGGTAATGTGTGTAAAGTACTTGGATTAAAAACTAGGCTGTGCAAAAGTGGAGGTCATCACACAGTGTGTAGGGTTGAGGCCAAGGCCATGTGTTTGCTCACCAGGCCAGGAGGGCTTTCCAGGAGCCTAGGGCAGCCTCCGCCTCATCGGAGGACACTCAGAGCTCATCTGGTCCAACCCCTCAGTCTCCACTTGGGCACTGAGAGAGAAGAGGGATGTGGCAGTCGAGGGGCCGGGACAATCAGGCCCCCAACTGAGTAGGTCCATTTCCACCTCGTGGCGGTGGAAATACAGATCCAAAACATAAACATCACCCATCCTGAGTGCCCCACTGGGACATGAAATGCAGATAAACCTAAACCCTTTTGACCTTGGCTGGCCCAAGAGTGGTGGTGGGCATCAGCAGATTTGTTGTCCTAAGTCTATTTGACTCAAACTAACAGTAAGATGAGCTTACCTTCTCTGACCAGGTGCCCCGACACGGTGGAGAGAGCAGACGGACCAGGTTCAGGGTGAGCCAGGGCAGGTACTAATACATGACTTAGAGTCGGGCTTTCCTTGTCCCAGACGGTCCTGAGTGATTCCAGCCCGGGGCCCCCAGGGTCTGCAGCTAGAAGCAGTAACCTGAACTTCTCTCCTGGGCTGGGCTCCATCAACATTTGGTTTCTGGGGGCTCAGCTGGTGACACTGTATCCTGGCTTCCCCCAGGAGGCAGGACTGACCCTTTCTCACCCTGGCTCCTGACCATGAACCAAACCCTGAAAGTCGAGGAAATATCTGACCTGCTCCTTCTCCCTTATTTTCAAAGCAGGAGCATCAGGACCAAGAAGTCACATTTTAAGCTCCTGGAGGGAAGGCTGCGAGAAGTAGCAAAGAGCTTTGGAGCTAGACAGACTAATTGAAATCCTGGCTCCACCACCTAAGTGCATATGGCTTGGGAAATAAACCCTAACTCTCTAAACTTCCATCTCATTGTTTGTAACATGAGTTAATGATAGCACCTACCTCCTAAAGTTGTCAGGACTCCGGGTAACAATGCCTGGAAAGCTGTTAGCAGCAATAAGCAGGCCCATCAGGACACTTGTTTCCATCACTCTGAGGGCCACTCAAGGGTAATGCTAGGCTCTCCAGGGGAGCTTCAGGACAAAGGAGAGTTCAGTTAGACAGGAGGAGCTGGGAGAGTTTGGAAAAGTATGGAAATATCTGTGTCTTGAGGACTTAAAAACACTAGACTCCTTCCCATCATCCAAGACAAAGAAGGAACAATGGATTCTGAAGGCAGGAGGCAGAAGACAAAACAAACAAAATGTCAACCTCGTAATGGTCTTTCAACCCCAGGTAAAAATACCTTGTCCTAGAACTGTGCTTGATAGCGATGAGACACTTTCACAACCACCAGCCCACCAAGCGTTCATTCTCCACAACCCTGTGAAGCTCAGAAAGGGCAAGGGATTGGTTTAAAGTCACCCAGGAGTTGGCAGAGCCAGGGCTCAGATCTTAGACTCTGGGCCCAGTGCTGACTCCTCTGTCCCCAGAGGCCCTGGGCCAGCACTTGGGGTTGAGAAGTGAGTGGGGGCTATTTCGGAGTTGCTCCTCATACGTGATCTGATAGACTCCTCAGCCCTCTTTAGGGATGGGACAGGTGTTATTCTCTCCATTTTACTGATGAGAAGACTGAGGACACCAGCAATTAGGTGGCAGAAGTGGGCCTGGAACCCACATCTGCCTGTCTCCAGGCCCAGCAGGTTTTCAGGGAAACACAGCCTCTCCTGCCCCTGGGCTGCCTGCCTGACCATCAGCCCTCTCTGCCCTTCCCTGCCCTTGCCTTCCAGTCAAGGTGATTCTGGACAATTACTTCTTCCTCTGTGGGCAGCCCCTCCTCTTCATCCCAAGGGAGCAGGTGTGTGACGGCCACCAGGACTGTGCCTCGGGGGAGGATGAGCAGTACTGCGTCAAGAAACTCCCCAATGGACCTCCAGTGTCAGGTGAGCCCAGGGGAGTGGGCAGAGCAGGAAGTCAGCTCAGCTCCTCTTGGTCCACTGCATAGCACCTGCCACCTGACTAGTCAGCTTCCTTCCCTATTGTAAGAATCTTAAAAACAGGATCATGTCTTATCTACTGGATCCCTGATACTCAACATGTAGCAAACACTCAGTACATTTTGATGAACAATTGTGGACCAGAGGGGACAGGAAGGTGTAACTGAGCCTGCCCTATTCCTGCTGCACCTGGATGCTGAATTGAATGACCTTGGGGAGTTCCCTCTTTTCTCTGACACCTATTATTTCAAGGGGACTACAAAGAGACCATACAGCCACTAGCCAGCTATTAATTCTTCTATTTATTTTGCGTATGTGCTTAGTTGCTCAATCATGTCTGACTCTTTGCAAACCCCGTGGACTGTGGTTCGCCAGGCTCCTCTGTCCATGGGATTCTCTGGGCAAGAATACTGGAGTGGGTTGCCATTTCCTTCTCCAAGGGAATCTTCCCGACCCAGGGATCGATCGAACCCAGGCCTCTTGAATTACAGACAGTTTATTTACCGTCTGAGCCACCAGGGGTGGCTATTCATTATGGAAGTGTTTATTGTAACATGTTATGGAACAAGACTGAGCTAGGTCCTTCAAAGGATGGTTTGAACATAAAAACCCATGTTCTTCCTTGGATTGGGTTAATCCAGCTTGATCCACTTAGTACTTGGGCTCTGCAAAGAAAAGACAGCCCAGGACACGGGTGATGGGGGCTTTTGTAGGGCAAGGCTGAGTGACATCCTGTGTATTTGCTCCTTTTTTTTTAAATCAGAAATCAAATGTCTGTGAGCCTTGCCACCCTACTGCCAAGAGCAATTCTCACTCGCCTACCCCTCTCTGACCTTACATAGAAAAAACAGCAAGGTTCCTCTTTGAGAAATTTTCCCAGACTAGAGAACTTGTGTGAACCACGGGTAGGAAGGCCTTGTAATACAACCATCAAATACATATATGCAAATACATCTAAAAAGTGAAAGTCACTCAGTTGTGTTCGACTCTTTGGAACCCCATGGACTATACAGTCCAGGAAATTCTCCAGGCCAGAATACTGGAGTGGGTAGCCTTTCCCTTCTCCAGGGGATCTTCCCAACCCAGGGATTGAACTCAGGTTTCCCACATTGCAGGCAGATTCTTTACCAGCTGAGCTGAGCCACAGGGGAAGCCCAAAAGTGAAAGGGGAGCTATTAATAATTTTGCCAGGGCAAAAATCAAAATGGGAGATTATTTCCAGGACATCTGGTCACCCTAGGTCCTGTCAGAGCAAGGCTCAATCAGGCAAAGTCAAAAGGAAGGACTCCCCTTGAGGTGGAAATTGTTGGTGTTCTGTGAGGCTCTCCAGTTCCCGGTAGGGTTTGGACAAGCGGTTTTGGCTGGTCACATGATGCATTCTGTGGGAGATGAGCCAGATGAGCCCCTGCCCTGAGCTGACCCGGGTTCCTTCCTTCCCAGTCCGCCTCTCCAGGGACCGATCCACCTTGCAGGTGCTGGACCCCGCCACGAAGAACTGGGCCTCCGCTTGTTTTGACAACTTCACAGAAGCTCTGGCCAAGACCGCCTGTCGGCAGATGGGCTATGACAGGTACCCAGCCCAAGGTCCAGTGGCTGTCACCTCACCCCATGACCTCTCTCCCTCTCTTTCTTCCTTCCTCTTTTCCCCTTTCCCTCTTTCCTTCCTCCTTCCTCTCTCTTTCCTAAAAATTGTAGGTATTGGAGTCAGACAACTGCTTTTGAAACACTCCCTTACAAGCAGCATGAAGTTAAATCTTGTAAGCCTCAGTTTGTTCAAGAGTTAATGGAGAGCTGTGTGTGGGGGGGGGCGGGGGGGTCTTCCCTGGTGGTCCAGTGGCTAAGACTCTGCGCTCCCAATGCAGAGGCCCAGGTTTGATCTCTGGTGGGTGAACTAGGTCCTGCATGCCATAATGAAGACTGAAGGTCCTGCTTGCCACAGCTAAGACCTGGCTGTTGTTGTTTAGTCGCTCAGTCATGTCCGACCCTTTTGTGACCCCCATGGATACCCCACCAGGCTCCTTTGTCCATGGGATTTCCTAGGCAAGAATACTGGAGTGGGTTGCCATTTCCTCCTCCAGGGGATATTCCCAACTCAAGGATTGAACCCATGTCTCCTGCATTGGCAGGCAGATTCTTTTACCACTGAGCCACCTGGGAAGCCTACAGTCAAATTAATTAATTAATTTTAAAAAAGAATTAATGGGAGAAGCAATGCCAACCTCATAGGATGGTTATGAGGTGCCAGAGAGAGAATATCTGCCCCACTCCTCCCCCACCTTCACCCGCATCCCCACCCCCCACACAGTTCAGGCTCCTTTATAATCCCCTCCTTTCCTTTACTTCTCAACCCTCACTTCTTGATTTGGCAAGATGCCGTCCCTGCCCCAGAATACAAAAAATCCTCTATTTATTCAAAGTCCTATTGGTTAAAATTTAGTTTAAATGAACCTGATTTCACTGGGTTTTCATCAGCAATCTCAGCTCTCTCCGCAAATTTCAAAAGCAGTTTTAAATCTTCAGTGGGTGAAAAAGCACACAGTTATAAGAAGGGTAATTAGCACTGCATATTTATATTCATTTGATCTTGGCAAAAACCACAAAGGTAGTTATTATTCTATCTGTTCTATGGTAGGTTCAAAGAAGGTGAATAAGTTGATCAAATAGTAGCTGGGAGCAAGAGGGCTGGAAGGTGTGCCCAAGACCCCCTAAAATTCCTGGGTATCTGAAGCATATCTGTTTCTAGGTTGGGTAATTCTCTGTTCTGTGGAGGTTTCGCCTATAAAGGGAGGGGAAGGGAGACAGTTGATCACTCAGAGCCTAACTGGAGAGATAGAAAAGGACCCATGCATTCAGCTGCACAGGGAATAATCTCTTCCTGGCAGGCCCCAAATTTTAGGATTCTAAGAAATGGACCCAGAGACTAGGTGGAAACAATACATCCTAGGCAGACATCGTCCATCAGTCAATCACAGAACCCTCTTCCATCAAACCCTAGAGCAGTCTCAAGCTCATTTTTCAATAAGTACTCTAGACAGCCATCGCTGATCCATCAGAACTATTTGCGCCTTCTGTCCTCTGGTTGTCAGGTTACTCCTGCTCTCTGCCCTCCACGATGTGCAACTTCCAGGACCCTCCGGAGAGGACACCCTGCACCCTTCATTTCCAAGGAGGGCTAGGAAGGCAAGCCCTGCCCCTGCATCAACCCTCCCCCAGCAGCACCCCCAGCCTGGCCTCCTGGCTGCAGCCCCTCCCCCTTCCAACTGCAGTCCAGCCAACTGCAGTGTCAGCTGTACTAGCAGAGCAGGCTGCAGCTTGATTATGAAACCAGGGTGTCTCCAGGGGTTCTTAAGGTAAAAGGCTCCTAGATTCTCTGTCCTTCTAAGCTCTTTAAGGCAACAAGCCATCTCGCTCTTGGGCTCTGCAAGATCAAAGCTGATCAGAATTATTCATCATGATGTAACTGGTGAACAGAGGCTAGCTCTCTTGGAAATGTCCACTTCCACCATGATTCCTCTTTCTGTATCTCAGATTTCCCTGGCTAGGAGGGCCTTCTTGTCCCAGGACCACAAAACTCTAGATGGCTCAAGATGGGAAGGACTCTGGAGATCATCTGGTCCACCCATCATTTATAGAGGGGAAAACTGAGGCTTAGAGAGACCCAGAGAGAAAATGCGACCTGCCAAGGGTCACACATCAAGCTAGTGTCAGAGCCAGAACAAGAACCTCAGGCTTGAGGGCTCTCAGCACAAAACCCAGCACTGCTAGACTCCAGCCTTTCAGGTGCCATGGCTGGGTCATCCAGGCAGTTTCAGATTCCTAGGTAGGCATGTGAGAATGTGCCAGTCAGCCAGTGTTTTAGGGTGACCCAAACCTGCATACAGAGCTGATGCTAGCATGACTGGTATAAAGGATGGGGAAGAACAGGAGAGATGGAAAAGAGGTACATTCAGTACAGCAACAATCAAAAAGATGAGATTAATCAGGGAAGACTTCCTGGAGGAGGGAAGACTTATACTCAAGGTTTGAAAGAAGACAAACATGGATTTGTGGAGAGAAAGAGGGATAGCAGTCCAAATGAGAGAGATGTTTGTCTGAGTGCATGTGAAGCCTGATCTTGCCCTGTCCTACCTCCAAAGGGACCATAAATGTACCCCACTACCAAGTTCAGACCAGATGCCTTGTTTGGAAAACCAAAATGTCCACATCTAGTTCCTTCTAAGGTAGGGATGGGTGCTAACTTGTTCTTTGCCTCCCTGTTCCCCTCACTTTGAACCAGGAGGAACAGCTGGGACATTTGGAATCAGGACAGAGCTGGGAGTTACAAAGGGGCATCCATAACATTTCTTCAGAGCTCTGGGTTCAGAACCAGTCTTCCCTGCCCAAGAAAGCAAGTCCACGTCAGCACTGTGCTTAGGGCTGAATCCTGGATGTTAAGAAATATCCCTTGTCATCTAGCAAAGCAGGCACTACCCTCCCTGACCAAGGCCACCTCCACTCCCCTACCACACCCCACCCAGCATTCTCGGCTGACCCCTCTCCTGGGAGTGGGGGCTACTCCCACCATCTTGGTCTGAGCTCCTGCTCCAGCTCACGTCTCTCACTCTCTCCCTTTCCCTCCCAACACGAGCAGCAAACCCACCTTCAAGGCTGTGGACGTTGGCCCAGCCCAAGATCTGGACATTGTCAAAATCACAGAGAACCTGCAGGAGCTTCAGGTGCAAAACTCAAGTGGGTAAGTGAGAGGACGCCTCTGGCCCACAAATATCACCCATGCTTGCTGTTGTCAGGGCTGCAGCCAGCCCGCCCTGAATGGATGCAGCAAGGGGAACATAAGCCAGACAATAAGAAGAACTCCTGGCCAGGCAGACTGTCCAATATCAAAAGCTAGAGCATCACATTTCTGAGCGGTTTTCTGTGTTGACTCTTTGGCTTAATACAAGGGGCAGCTGGACAAAGTGTGCTGTCCACACACTGGCAGCCTTTCATCAGTCAGATAAGAAAACCAAATTGGTTTCCTATGGCCTTATGCCGCTTTGAGCCCCAGAGGCAAGATTCCAAAGGCCACTTTGTCCTTCTGCCACTCACCCAGGCCAGAGTAGGCCCTCCCCTGCATTTCTAACGCTCCAGAGGAGCAGCTCTATGGCCACTGTCAACGTCTGTTCTCATGCCCACCACCGTGCCAGAGCCCGGCATCTACAGGAACACTGTCACCCCACGGAGAGAATGATGTCTCCTTAGCATCAGGGAGATTGCTGAGAGCTGCTTTTTCATCAAAGAGTAAACCTTGAAAAGGAGAGGACTAGGAGCAGAATGATTGTTTGCCTGGAGTTTCACTAAAATCCCATTCCTCTTCTGTTTGAGCCCGCGGTGCCACAGACGCTGGTCCAACCTCTGCTCTCTTTCATCTCAGGCTGCCAAGAGCCCCAGGGTGGGCTGTGACTCAGGCAGGGCCCAGCATATAGCAGATGCTTATCAGCAGGGGTGTGAAATCCAATTGCATTCAATTGCACGGAGTTGGGTGGAAGTACGGTGTCTATATGGGGCTTCCCTGGTGGCTCATCTGGTGAAGAATCTGCCTGCAATGCAGGAGACCCTGGTGAGATTCCTGGGTCAGGAAAATCCCCTGGAGAAGGGATAGGCTCCCCACTCCAGTATCCTTGGGCTTCTCTGGTGGCTCAGACGGTAAAGAATCCACCTGCAATGCAGGAGACTTGTGTTCAATCCCTGGGTCGGGAAGATCCCCTGGAGGAGGACAAGGCAACCCACCCCAGTGTTCTTGCCTGGAGAATCCCATGGACAGAGGAGACTGGAGGGCTATAGACCATGGGGTCACAAAGAGTCAGACATGATTGAATAACCAAGGGCAGCACAGCACAGTGTCTGTACAGCCCCCACCAGGCAAGGCTTCATATTTCCCGGGTGCTGGGAAGGGACTGGAATCAACAGTGCCAGGAGACCCGAGTCCCTGCCTCCCAGCCAAGAGATAAGCAAAAACCACAGGATGCCTATGTCTCCTTTCCAGCCCCTGTCTCTCAGGCTCCCTGGTTTCCCTGCAGTGCCATGGTGAGTACACTCCATCTCTGAGGGTTTGGGTCCTGAGCCAGCAATATGCAGGAAAGAAGACCTTCATCCTCATTCTTAAATCACTCAGACTCCAAGTGTCACTCTATTCTGTCCAGACGTTACTACTTGGACCTTGGGCTTGTAGGTGAACACTCCTTCAAGTAGTTGATGTTAAGAACTCCCTCCCTGCCATATGACCCAGCAATCCCACTCCTGGGCATATACACTGAGGAAACTAGATCCGAAAGAGACACGTGCACCCCAATGTTCATCACAGCACTGTTTATAATAACCAGGAGATGGAGGCAACCTAGATGCCCATCAGCAGACGAATGGATAAGGAGGCTGTGGTACATATACACAATGGAATATTACTCAGCCATTAAAAGAATTCATTTGAATCAGTTCTAATGAGATGGATGAAACTGGAGCCCATTATATAGAGTGAAGTAAGCCAGAAAGATAAAGACCAATACAGTATACTAACGCATATATATGGAACTTAGAAAGATGGTAACGATAACCCTATATGCAAAACAGAAAAAGAGACACAGATGTACAGAACAGACTTTTAGACTCTGTGGGAGAAGGCGAGGGTGGGATGTTCTGAGAGAACAGCATTGAAACAAGTATACTATCAAGGGTGAAACAGACCACCAGCCCAGGTTGGATGCATAAGACAAGTGCTCAGGGCTGGTGCACTGGGAAGACCCAGAGGGATGGGATGGGAAGGGAGGTGGGAGCGGGATGGGGAACACATGTAAATCCATGGCTGATTCATGTCAATGTATGGCAAAAACCACTATAATATTGTAAAGTAATTAGCCTCCAACTAATAAAAATAAATGAAAAAAAATAAAATAAAAATAACACAAATAGTAAAAAATAAAAAAATAAAAATAAATAAATAAAATAAAAAAAGAACTCCCTCCCACTGTCCACCCATATCGCCACAATTGCTGTGGGCAGAGATCCAAGAGAGAGTAAGAAAACCAGAATGGGCAAGACCAAGCCTCTACCTGCTCCCACCCCTGGCCAGGGCCCACGTAATCTTATCTGCTTATTCTGTTTAGCAAAGAGTCATGAAACAGTTAAGATGCGTCATCACTGTCGGATGCTAGCTGGAAGTAGAAGATGCCAGACAAGCAAGAAAATTGGCCTCTGTCTTAGGAGCTAATGACTGAGCAAAGAGAGAGGTGTAAGGCCACATGCAGGAGTCCCGACCTCCCCACTGAGCAGCAGTCCCGATTAACATGCTCCAGAGAGAGCCGCATGGGGCTGGGGGAGTAAGTGGGGCGGTGGGGGGTGGGGGGGTCGTCAGGAGACCTGGGCAACACCCGTCCCACTGGCTTCCAATGTGACCTTGGGTAATTCACTTGATCTCTCTGAAGTTCATCTTTAGTCCAACTGCCCAACAGGATCCTGGGACACTCCCTAGTTCTGAGAGGAGTTCAGAAGGAAAAACAAGCGCTGAGGTCCCACTCATCCCACCAGCCTCATGGGAGAACCAAATTGAGCCTGACAGATGGCAAAAGAAACTGGATCACCTGAGAGGAGGAAGGTCATCCTCGCTGTCTTTGCAGTTTAGCAGTGTGTATGCATGGAACAGTGGACTGGTTCCAAATTGGGAAAGGAGTTCGTCAAGGCTGTATATTGTCACCCTGCTTATTTAACTTATATGCAGTGTACATCATGAGAAATGCTGGGCTGGATGAAGCACAAGCTGGAATCAAGATTGCCTGGAGAAATATCAATAACCTCAGATATGCAGATGACACCATCCTTATGGCAGAAAGTGAAGAAGAACTAAAGAGCCTCTTGATGAAAGTGAAAGAGGAGAGTGAAAAAGCTAGCTTAAAACTCAACCTTCAAAAAACCAAAATCATAGCATTCAGTCCTATCACTTCATGGCAAATAGATGGGGAAACAATGGAAACTGTGATAGACTTTATTTTCTTGGGTTCCAAAATCACTCCAGATGGTGACTGCAGCCATGCAATTGGAAGATTCTTGCTCCTTAGAAGAAAAGTTATGACAAACCTAGACAGCATATTAAAAAGCAGAGACATTACTTTTTTTTTCTTTTTGGCTCTTCAATCTGATTATTTTTCTTTTTTTAAATTAATTAATTAATTTTAGTTTACAACATTGTATTGGTTTTGCCATACATTGACTTGAATCCGCCATGGCTGTACCTGTGTTCCCCATCCTGAACCCCCCTCCCACCTCCCTCCCCATCCGATCCCTCTGGGTCATCCCAGTGCACCAGCCCCAAGCATCCTGTATCATGCATTGAACCTGGACTGACGATTCGTTTCACATATGAAACAATAATTTACATGTTTCAATGCCATTCTCCTATATCATCCAGCCCTCAACTTCTCCCACAGAGTCCAAAAGATTGTTCTATATATCTGTGTCTCTTTTTCTGTCTTGCATACAGGGTCATCGTTACCATCTTTCTAAATTCCATATATATGCATTAGTATACTCTATTGGTGTTTTTCTTTCTGACTTACTTCACTCTGTATAATGGGCTCCAGTTTCATCCACCTCATTAAAACTGATTCAAATGTATTCTTTTTAATGGCTGAGTAATATTCCATTGTGTATATGTACCACAGCTTTCTTATCCATTCGTCTGCTGATGGACATCTAGGTTGCTTCCATGTCCTGGCTATTGTAAACAGTGCTGAGATGAACATTGGGGTACACGTGTCTCCTTCAGTTCTGGTTTCCTTGGTATGCATGCCCAGCAGCGGGATTGCTGGGTCATATGGCATTTCTATTTCCAGTTTTTTAAGGTATCTCCACACTGTTCTCCATAGTGGCTGTACTAGTTTGCATTCCCACCCACAGTCTAAGAGGGTTCCCTTTTCTCCACACCCTCTCCAGCATTTATTGCTTGTAGCCTTTTGGATAGCAGCCATTCTGACTGGCATGTAATGGTACCTCATTGTGGCTTTGATTTGCATTTATCTGATAATGAGTGATGTTGAGCATTTTTTCACGTGTTTGTTAGCCATCTGTATGTCTTCTTTGGAGAAATGTCTGTTTAGTTCTTTGGCCCACTTTTTGATTGGGTCTATTTTTCTGGAATTGAGCTGCAGGAGTTGCTTGCATATTTTTGAGATTAATTCTTTGTCCGTAAAAGCAGAGAAATTACTTTGCCAACAAAGGTCCATCTAGTCAAAGCTATGGTTTTTCCAGTAGTCGTGTATGTATGTGAGAGTTGGAAAGCTGAGTGCCAAAGAATTGATGCTTTTGAACTGTGTTGTTGGAGAAGACTCTTGAGAGTCTTGAGGGCTGCAAGGAGATCCAACAAGTCTATCCTAAATGAAATCAGTCCTGAATATTCATTGGAAGGACTGATGCTGAAGCTGGAACTCCAGTACTTTAGCCACCTGATGCGAAGAACTGACTCATTGGAAAAGACCCTGATGTTGGGAAAAACTAAAGACAGGAGGAGAAGGGGACGACAGAGGATGAGATGGTGGGATGGCATCACCGACTCAATGGACATGAGTCTGAGTAAGCTCCAGGAGTTGGTGATGGACAGCGAAGCCTGGCGTGCTGCAGTCCACGGGGTAAAATCGGACATGACTGAGCAACTGAACTGACTGATGCATCCCTGTTGGATGTTAAGACTTTTACCCATTATCATGTGATCCCAAGATACCGATGGGGTCTGAGCTCCTGATGTGCTGAGCTAAGCAGCACTGGAGTCAGAAAGAGGCTTAAGCCACAGATCCTCCCTAGAGGAGGCTTCAGTCTCGTTGAGAAGACTGAACTACGACAACAAGGAAAGCTGGCCAACATCCAGGCAGGCTGCGAAAATGCCAGGAGAGGAAAATCCCCAGGGGTCAGGCAACCTGGAGAAAATGCTCAGGCTAAACATCTCAGAAGGAACTGTAGGCTCGAGGGGGGCAGGGACCCGGTCTGTCTCTTTGTCTTGGCCAGTGCCCTCTTCCCAGCGGAATGAACAGTGATTTAGATAAACATGAGAGGAGACGGCATCTCAGGGACAGGGACTTCCTGGAGCAAAAACAGAAAGACTTTTCAGGGAGCTACCAGAAGATCGATTTGGCTAGACAGCAATTTTACATCAGGAGGCTGCCAGGAGCGGGAGTTTAAACTCTTCCCCTACAGACGGAGAGGGATGCTAAGGAGCTTTGAGTGGGGGAGTGAGGGATGTGTAGAAAGCAGTGTTTGGAATTAGAAAGTGTTTCACAAGCCCCTTCCAGGCACAAACCCAGAGAGGGTGGTGGCCTTTCCCCCTTAGAACCGTCACTGTGGCAGTGACTGCCAGAAGGATTGGGGAGGCTGGGAACAGGACAGAGAGGTGTAACCAGAGAGTTTTTACAAGAGTTCGCAAGTCAGACGTGAGAGCCAGGAGAGTGGGATGTGAAAGAAGGAACAGGATGTCAAATTGAGACTCTCTGAGCAGGGGGAAGGGACTTGGAGAAAGGTGAGTTCAGGATGGGAAGTTCCATTTCTGGAACTTTCTTCCCACTCTCCAATCCCAAAGCAGCCTGTGGGCGTCTGTTCACTGTTACTCAGTGGGAGCAGCTGGGGACACTCCCCGGGGCAGGACTTTCATAATTCTGCATCCATATTTAATTTCAAGGTCATGAATTCCTGCAGAATGGACACACCTATATTCACAGTATAAACTCCATCTGAAGCTAAAAAAAGGAGACGGAGATTGGGGGAAAGTCTGGGACACTCAGTGTCTCCTGAGGACTAATTCAAAATTGGCCTGGTCCTCTACCTGTCACCCCTGTTCCTAGTCCAAGGACCCTGCTCAGGATAGGCTGGGGGCTCTAAGGGGGACAACCCCAGTCCCCGAGAGCCTAACTCTTTCTTTCTTCCTCCTTCCCTCTGAGTCCAGCCTGCGGACAGAGCGTGAAGGCCCCTCGGGTGGTGGGTGGGAAGGAGGCCTCTGTGGATTCTTGGCCTTGGCAGGTCAGCATCCAGTACAACAAACAACACATCTGTGGAGGGAGCATCCTAGACCCACACTGGATCCTCACAGCTGCCCACTGCTTCTGGTAAGGTGCATGTGGGGAGCCCCTGGGGTCAGAGACACGGAGGAACCTGAGCGCCTGGGTCCCCTGTCTCCAATTTTTTGTCTGATGCCCTCCACTCCCTCCATTCACCCTAAAGACCATGTACCAGGATGTGGCTACCCAATGAGACACTGGCCGTGACATCCTTTGTTAGGCTTTGGGGGTCTTAGCCGAGGGTGCCGGTCACCAGGCCTGACTAAGAAGTCAGAAGTCCCCCCCCTTTCGGGGGGAAGCCATCAAATACCCAGTGTCCTCACTCTCCCTTACATCACTCACTGCACAAAAGCACTTCCCATCTGCCTCTGAGGACTCCAAGGGAGTCTTGAGAACTTTCTCCCTTTCTGCCAGTCTTTCAAGAAGTGGTTCCAAATCCCGGGTTCATGCCACTCTTCCACTATATCCAGAAGTTAAGAAAAACAGTTTTCTGTTACCAGCCTGCAGAGAGAGGCCTGACATATGTCTGGAAAAGGACCATTCCAGGTCCTCTTCACCTTCATTCATTCATCTGTTCATTTATTCACCATCTATGAGTACCTACTAGGTACCTTCATGCTGTAGATGCCATCACTGCCTCAGAGGAGCACACAATGTAAGCCAGTGATTTTTAACCTTTTTGGAGAATCTGATAAAATCTATAAATCTTTCCCCTGCACACTCAGCTGTGTCTGGTATCAAGAAGAAGACGAATACACTAAGTCCCCTACATAGGAATGTGTTCCATTCCAAGAGTGCATTTGTAAGTCCAGTTTGTTCATTAACTTCAACTAAGTTAGCCTGAGGTACCCAACTTTTACAAATAATGCCAGACACATTGACTAATTTACGTGATTAGACATGCAAACACACATTCCCATCTTGGAAAGTCTGCAACTTGAAGGTTCATATGTGGGAGACTTACTGTATACAATGGAACTGACCACAATGCAAGTACCACACGAGTAACAAGGCCAGTAAAATGCACTAGAGGACAGAGTATCAGGACCCAGAGCTCAAGCACTGGGCATAGCCCATTCCCCAGCCCTCCAGTTAAAAGTTTCTTCTGGCAGGTTTCACCAGGGAAAAGAATCAAATCCCCCTTTAGAATCTGACCTGCAGTAGGTGATTCCTCAGATGGTCTCTTCTCCAGCACCCCTGCCCTCACCATCGTTACCCTCCAAGGCAGGGACATACAGCACCCCACTCCCCCGGGCCCCGGAGACCCAGCCTTTGGCAAAGCCTCCTTATGCTTGGCTCGGACCTGAACTGCACTGTCTCTGCCCCCAGGAAGCACCTCGATGTGCCCAACTGGAAGGTGAGGGCTGGCTCAGACAGACTGGGCAGCTTCCCATCCCTGCCTGTGGCCAAGATCTTCATCCTTGAGCCTAACACCACGCACCCCAGAGAGCACGACATTGCCCTCGTGAAGCTGCAGCTCCCGCTCACATACTCTGGTGAGAGCCGACACCTGGGGACAGAACTCCCATTCTGCCACTAGCTCTTTCCCTAAGTGGCCTTGGGCACATCACTACTCCTCTCAAGACCTCAGTTGGCCCATTGTTTCCGGCAAGTATATCAGCCTATTGTCACGAAAGCCATGAGGCCTCCTCCAGCTCTCGCTGACACCCTACCCCTGCCAGATTCTTCTGAGATCTGTTTTCTCTACATAGAGCACCCCCAGTGAGAATCACAGATTCATCCAATCTTGGAGTTGCAAGGGACCTAAAAGATCTCCTGGCCCATCCTCCACCCCAACCAATGCAAAAGCCTGTACACTCTCCCTGCCAAAGGGTCATGGGGCCCATTTACTCTCCTCCAGGGACAGCAACTCATTACTGTTAAGACAGCCCGTTAGCATCTTTGACCAGCTCTGTTCAATGACTCAAGCTTACACTGGGTAGTATTTAGATCAGCATCTCCAATGGTTGGTTCCATAGAACACGGGTCCCTTGGGTACAAGAGGGTTCCTTTCTCAAATAAGTTTGGAAAATATTTTTATACCATAGCTCTTTTCCTGGAACACATTAGTATATTAATGACATGAGAGGTTTTTTTTTTTTTTAACAATTTGTTTTGTTGTATTTAGCTCACATTTTCTTTATTTAAAATTCTTTATTTACTTTTGGCTGTGCTGGGTCTTCATTGCTGCATAGGCTTTTCTCCAGTTGCGGCGAGCAGGGGCTCTCCTTCCTTGCGGCGCTCGGGCTTCTCACTGCTGTGGCTTCTCCTGTTGCAGAGCAAGGGCTCTAGGCACACGGGCTTCAGTAGTTGCAGCACATGGGCTCGGTAGTTGCATCTCATGGACTTAGTTGCTCTGTGGCACGTGGAATCTTCCCGGACCAGGGACCAAACTCATGTCTCCTGCATTGGCAGGTGGACTGTCATTCACTACACCACCAGGGAAATCCAACACATTTTCTAAACTTATTTGACCACAGAATCTTTTTTCTTTCCATGCCACTTCTATTAACATCCCATGGAACGTGTGCTATGGAAACCCTGGTGTTAACCCTTACAGAGGATTTAGCTGCCGGGCTCTCCTGAACTTTGGGTCCCCTCTTCCTCTCTGCTCCTGGCAGGCACAATCAGGCCCATCTGCCTGCCCTTCTCTGACGAGGAGCTCACTCCAGGCACCCCACTCTGGGTCATCGGATGGGGCTTTACAGAAGAGAACGGAGGTAAGTGCCAGGCTCAAGATCACAGGACTAAGTGAGCAGCTCCCAAAAGTGATGGGAAAGAGGACCATCCTTTAGAGAAACCCATCCTGGAGGCCCAAGCACCAAGGTACCAGGAAACCCAGAGAATTGTCCTGGGCTGGGGTTTGAAGGCAAGAATGGGAATGCGAGTGTGTTTTCAACCCCCAGGGAAGATGTCTGACATACTGCAGCAGGGATCCGTCCAGGTCATCAACAGCACGCGGTGCAATGCCGAGGATGCGTACCAGGGGGAGGTCACCGAGACGATGATGTGTGCAGGCCTCCCGGAGGGTGGCGTGGACACCTGCCAGGTGCGGCCTCCAAGGATCGTGAGGGAGTTAGAGATGAGGAAGTCTGCTCTGAAGAGATGAAAAAGTTCAGAGGATGAATGCCCACATGAAGCCTTACATATTGTGGGCACTCACTGTGTGATGAAGGGAGGAAGGGAGAGAGGGAGAAAGATATGAGGATGGATGGATGCATGGATAGACAGATAGATAGAAGCAGAGAGATTTCAAATGTACATTTTATATACAAAGATGATGTTTCCCTCCCCACCTGCTCTTACTTCCCAGAAACCCAGAGACTTTAAAAGTTTACTCATTTAAAAGAGTATGAGCCCCTAGCAGGCAGGAATCCCAGGTCTGTTTTCTCTACAACTGTCCTCAAGCTGCTGAACTACACTAGAGAAAACCCATCTCATGCTTGATGAGCCCCAGTGCACTGACCCCTCTCCCCATCCTACTGGCCAGTCCGTGAATATATTCTCACATTCCCCCCCAGAGGATCTTCTGAATTATTTTCGTTAAAACCCCAAACCCTTGTCCCACCCCCATTCTCAGTCATTAAATTCCTTCACTCAAGAGACACTCTTAGTCATCTCTTGATGACTTGATGCCAGATAGATGCTAAACTTTGAGGCCAGTGTCTTCCCCCAGGAGTTCACAGTAATGGGGGTGGGGGTGAATAACTCCACAGGCAGTTCAGCTATAGAGTTACTGGGTTCTGAGGGATGAAGCCCCAGAGGCTACAAGAGCTGGTAAGAAGGACACCCAAATAAGTGTACTTTTCACTATCTGACAATTTTTATACAAGAAAATGTCATTTTGTACTTTGCGTGTTCTCTCTCTCTCTCTCTCCATCTGATTCCAAGCTCCCTTAGGGCAAGGATCTTTTCTCTTTTCATTAATTGATCCCAGTTGTCTAGAACAGTGACTGGCATGAAATAAGCCCTCCTGTAATGGTTCAATAAACCTGGGAACTACTAGGTTAGATGGGCTTCCCAGGTGGCTCAGTTGGTAAAGAATCCGCCAGAAATGCAGGAAGTACGGGTTCTATGCCTGGATCGGGAAGATCCTCTGGAGAAGGAAATGGCCACCGACTCCAGTATTCTCGCTTGGAGAATCCCACGGACAGAGAAGCCTGGCGGGCTGCAGTCCATACGGTGACACAGATCCGGACATGACTGAAGTGACTTAGCACGCACTAGGTTAGGCCAAGATAACCAGGCTTCCTTACTGCAGGACCCCTTAGAGCCCTCACTGTTCTAGTGTGAGTTGTAGATCTCCAAGAAAGGGCTAACAGCACACCCACAGCTCGCTCGACCGCAGACAGAACCCTTTCGCCCCCAAAGGGAAGGGCATTCCAGGCTGCAGGAACGGCATGAGCAGGGGCAATGAGAGTGGAACAGCAGAGGGCGCTGGAGAGCAGGACCAGATGGGCCAGTGCAGCGAGGGGAGGATGGGGACCCCCACCTCTCCACCGCAGCCCTGCCCGCCCTCCCCAGCAGCCTCTGCTCTGGCCTCTCACAGGGTGACAGTGGGGGCCCTCTGATGTACCACTCTGACCGGTGGCAAGTGGTGGGCATCGTGAGCTGGGGCCATGGCTGTGGGGGGCCTACTACCCCAGGAGTTTACACCAAGGTCACAGCCTATCTCAACTGGATCTACAGTGTCCGGAAGGTAAGCGTGTTTGCCCTCTCTATTGAACCCTCCCTTCCTCTCCTCTGTGGGTTCCAAACCACCCTTAGTGATTTAACGGCTCTGAGATACCCCTTCTCTGAGATACCCCTTTAAATCCCCAGTAGTCTTCATTCCCAGCTAGTGACAACCTGGAATTCCACCATTAAGGGCTGAAATTCCTTAAATCAGAGACTCCCATTAAATGCAAATACCTTACAGTATGGAACACACCCAGCTTTACCATTCTCTCGTTTTCTGATCAAATGCAGCTATCAGACACTTTCCAGAGACCAGATTCTGATAAGAAGGAGGATGGAAATATTACTCAGTCATAAAAAGGGATGAATTTGAGTCAGTTAGTGAGGTGGATGAACCTAGAGCCTTTTATACAGAATGAAGTCAATCAGAAGGAGAAAAACAAATATCAGATATTAATGCATATGTATGGAATCTAGAAAAAAAATAGTACTGATGAACCTATTTACAGAGAAGAAATGGAGACATAGACATAGAGAACAGACTTGTGGACACATTTGGAGAAGGAGAGGGTAGGACAAATTGAGAAAGTAGCATTGACATATATATACTATCATGTGTAAAATAGATAATTGGCAGGAAGCTGCTATATAACACAGGGAGCTCAGTCTGGTGCTGTGTGATGACCTAGGGGGTGGAAAGGGTGGAGGGAGGGAGGCTTTAGAGGGAGGGGATATATATAATTATGACTGATTGACATTAATGTACAGCAGAGACCGCCACGATGCTATAAAGCAATTATCCTCCAATTAAAAAAAAAAAAGGAGGATGGAAAGGCTTATGAGACTTCCTGACCTCTAGAGAGTAGAGAGAGGAGCAAAGAGCTTCAGAAAAGGAAGATTAATTTTGCATGCCACCATTTTGTCCAATTTCAAATTACCTAGTTTATTTGTTGGTCTCTTTTATTCTAGTCTGATCCATGATGCTCCTGCCCCCTGCAGTGCTGGAAACTGTTTCCCCCTATCCTGCCCACATGGGAATACCCCAGAAGTCAGACACAGACCAAGAGCCCCCCTTGGGCACACCTCTCTGCCCACACTCTCAGCATTTCTAGGTGCAGCAAAGGACCTGCAATCCTGTAAGCCATCCCGCAGCTCGCAGGCACCCAGGAAGTCATCAGCTCCAGTTCAGCTGCCCATGATGCTCTCAGCATCTCAAGGAGGGAGAGATACAAGCCAGCCTCCAAGGCTGAGGTCTCAGAAGGCATTGCTAAGCTGAGAACTTTCTACTCTATTGAATGGAAACAGATGCTCTTCTAAGAGCCCAGATCACCAAGGGCTGGAGTGGAGGGAGGAAAGGGGCTGAGCCAGCCCTCTGCCTCCCCAGCCATCCCCAAGCCCACCTGAAAAAAAACTGTTTATAATGGAAAATGTGCTGTCCAGCTCTTGGCTCAAGTGCCATTTCTTACTGTTGTTTTTATTGTGGCCACTGTTTATTAACCTGGTGCGTGAAGTCTTTGACATAGGCTGACGGGGCTGCTTGAAAAGGGTTGAGCTAAAGACTACCAAACTATGATCTTTGTTCCTTGGCCTGGGTAGGAAAAGATCTATGGGAAATGATTGATTCTCAAAGTAGAAGAAAAGGAGACATGGGTACCAGAGCTGATGGGTGGCGGCACCCCACCTAGGGGGCAACAGTGAACAGCTGACCAGGGAAGCCAGGGGTCAGTAAGTGTGTTTTCTACACAGGGGACTTGTCCCACTGCCTTCCTCCCCTTCCTCTCTGCCCTGATATCAGCCACAAGCAAGAGAGAGAGGATTTGGGCTTTCAAGGCTGACTTTGAATTACGGCTCCCCAAGAGGCTGGGAAAAGGTATTGCAACTCTAGGTCCTAACATCTACCTGAAGAACTCTAGGTGTGATTTTTAACCATTCTTTTTTTTTTTTTTTTAAGCCACGTGGCATGTGGGATCTTAGTTCCCCACCAGGATCAAACCCACACCCCTGCACAGAAGTGCAGAGTCTTAACCACTGGACCACCAGGGAAGTCCCTATCATTCAGTTTTAAACAGTCATTTATCACCTGCTTCCCTGGTGGCACTAGTGGTAAAGAATCCTCCTGCCAATGCAGGAAATGCAGGTTCGATCCCTGGGTCTGGAAGATCCCCTGGAGTAGGAAATGGCACCCTACTCCAGTATTTTTGCCTAGAAAATCCCATGGGCAGAGGAGCCTGGTGGGCTACAGTTCATGGGGCCACAAAGAGTCAGAGACAACTGAGCAATTGAGAACAATCCTGCACAGGAATGAGATGGTCTCCAAGCTGGAATCTGAGGATAGTAATATGAATAAGTTCCTGCACTCAAAATGGTCAGAGAAGTAAGCCCCATGAACTTTTCTGGCAGCTGTAGGGAGTCCCAGGTGTTTTGAGGACCCTCTTGCTGTAGTTGTGTCAAATCCTTGATAAAATATACTTGTTAATGTCTTCTTAGGGTCTTAGTAAATAATAGAAATCCTCAAAGGCAAAAAAAAAAAAAAATAAAGCAAAGCCGTCAGAATCATGAACTGAAACTACGGGGGAGATCTGGGAACAATAGCTTACTAAAGTCTCGGGCTGCCCTTGGACAAAGACTCACATGAAACCTGAGATCAGAACTAACCCCAGACCGACTGCAGGCAGGGAAGCTGAAACTGGGATTCCCACATAAAACAGAGACAACTGAATGGGGTAGATCCCATGTGGCAGATCTAATGGAGGAGGAAAGACTCCATTAGATTTAGAGCCTCAGGATTTCCAGAGAGAGATCCTCCAAATATGAGCTCACAGTCAAAGATTGGCCAAGAGTTTAAAAAATAAAAACCACAATTGGGGGAATCATCAAAAATAGAAAATAAAACCTCAAGAACTTTAGATGTTAGAATTATAGATAATTATAATAATTGTTATATTTTATTATATATATAGATATAGAGTGTGTATAAATATATAATATATAAAATCATACGATAGAGTATGTCTGTGTGATGTACACTACTCTCTAATGGCCTCATCGTGTAGGGAGTCACTTAATACTCACACAAACCTATGAAATTGGTACTATTCTTATCCCCATTTTACAGATAAGAAAACTAAGCATAATGAGAGTAAGTACCTTGCCAAGGTTGCATACTGTCAAGTTGAACATAAGCATGCTCACTCCAGAGTTCATGCTACAAGCTACCACAATATAGGGGCCATACATATTCTAAGTGCTTGAGTAATAAAGTTTTTAACTTCAAAACAATAATAAAAACAAGGAATAGATTAAGGAAAAGCAAACTAAATATCAAGCAATCTCAAAAGAAGGATGAGAGCTAAAAGTAAGAAAAGTATAGAAAATGGAGTAAATAAAATACACAAAGATAGGATAAAATATCAATAATTACAATAAATGTTAAATTCATCAACTAATACATAGAGATAGGCAAAATGGATAAAAATGTAAAATTAAGCTACGTATTATTTATAAGAGACACACCAGAATGTTCAGTTGCTGCTGCTGCTAAGTCACTTCAGTCGTGTCCGACTCTTCGCGACCCCATGGACTGCAGCCCACCAGGCTCCTCCATCCACGGCATCTTCCAGGCGAAAGCACTGGAGTGGGTTGCCATTGCCTTCTCCGAATGTTAGGTTACAGACTGTTAAAACAAGGAGGTGAAACAAAGTACCGAAAGCAAGCACATAACAAACTTCAAGCTGGAGAAGCTAAATTTTTTTTTAAATAGGGATTTAGGACAAAAAAGGAAAAAATACTTAGGGATAAAGAGAGTCACTACACAATCATAAATGCTTCAATTCACCAGGAAGACACAGTAAGTTAAAACTTGTAACAGCGGCGGCTGCTGTTTTCCTTCCAGTCCCGGAACCAAATGGCCCCACAGAGGGCTTCCAGGAATGTCCAAGTCACTGCAGGTTTTCCTCATCTTCCATCAGAAAACAGCTTCTAACTCACTTCAGCCTTCCCTCGTCTTCTCTTGGATGCAGAGAGAGCAAGCCCTGAGCCTTTGGAGCGTGAGCACTGACTCCAAGACCCTAGACTACCAGAGAACTAACCCTAGGGAGTATCAAACAGTCAGAACTCACACAAAGGAAACCACTTGAAAACAAGACCCACATCACCCTAACACCAGTAGCACCCTGTGCAGGACACCTCATCTAAACAACAAACAAAAAAATACAAACCAAATCATCAGCAGACACTGCATCCAGATGCAGAAGAATACACTTCTTCTCAAGTGCACATGGAACATTCTCCAGGATAGATCACATCTTGGGTCACAAATCAAACCTCAGTAAGTTTAGGAAAATTGAAATCATACCAAGCATCTTCTCTGACCACAATGTTATGAGACTAGATATCAATTACAAGAAAAAAACTGTAAGAAACACAAACACATGGAGATTAAACAACATGTTTCTAAATAATCAACAGGTTACTGAAGAAATCAAAAGGGAAATCAAAAAGTTTCTAGAAACAAATGATAATGAAAACATGACAACTCAAAACCTATGGGATGCAGCAAAAGCAGTTCTAAGAGGGGAGTTTATAGCAATACAATCTTACCTCAACAAACAAGAAAAACATCAAATAGACAACCTAACTTTACACCTAAAACAACTGGAAAAGGAAGAACAAAAAAACCCCAAAATTAGTAGAAGGAAAGAAATCATAAAGGTCCAAGCAGGAATAAATGAAAAAGAAATGAAAGAAACAATAATAAAGATCAATAAAACTAAACACTGGTTCTTTGAGAAGACAAACAAAATTGACAAGCCTTTAGTCAGACTCATCAAGAAAGAGAGAGAAGAATCAAATCAACAAAATTAGAAATGAAAAAGGAGAGGTTACAAAAGACAATGCAGAAATACAAAGGATTATAAGAGAGTATTATGAACAACTATAGGGCAATAAAATGGATAACCAGAAGAAATGGACAGATTCTTAGAAAAGTTCAATCTTCCAAGACTGAACCAGGAAGAAATAGAAATTATGAACAACCCAATTACAAGCACTGAAATTGAAGCTGTGATCAAAAATCCCCCAAAATACAAAATCCCAGGACCAGATGGCTTCACAGGAGAATTCTAGCAAACATTTAGAGAAGAGCTAATGCCTATCCTTCTAAAACTTTTTCCAAAAACTGCAGAGGAAGGAACACTTCCAAACTCATTCTACAAGGCCACCATCATCCTGATACCAAAACCAGACAAAGACAACACTAAAAAAGAAAGCTACAGGCCAATATCACTGATGAACATAGATGCAAAAATCCTCAACAAAATTTTAGCATACAGAATTCAGCAACACATCAAAAAGCTCATACACCATGATCAAGTTGGGTTTATTCCAGGAATACAAGGATTCTTCAATATATGCAAATCAATCAATGATACACCATATTAACAAATTGAAAGATAAAAACCATATGATAATCTCAATAGATGCAGAAAAAGCCTTTGACAAAATTCAGCTCCCATTTATGATTAAAACTCTTCAAAAAATGGGCATAGAAGGAACCTACCTCAACATAGTAAAGGACATATATGATGTCTATAGCAAACATTATTCTCAATAGTCAAAATCTGAAAGCATTCCCCCAAAGATCAGGAACAAGACAAGTGTGTCCACTTTCCCCACTATTATTCAACATAGTTCTGGAATTCCTAGTTACAGCAATCAGAGAAGAAAAAGAAATAAAAGAAATCCAGATTGGAGAAAAAGAAGTAAAGCTCTCCCTGTTTGCAGATGACATGATACTGCACATAGAAAACCCTAAAGATAGTATCAGAAAATTACTAGAGCTAATCAGTGAATTTAGCAAACTTGCAGGATACAAAATCAATACACAGAAATCACTTGCAATTCTATATACTAACAATGAAAAATCAGAAAGAGAAATTAAGGAGTCAATCCCATTCACCATTGCAACAAAAAGAATTAAATATCTAGGAATAAACTTACCTAGGGAGACAAAAGGACTGTACACAGAAAATTATAAGACACTAATGAAAGAAATCAAGGGTGGCATAAACAGATGGAGAGATATTCCATGTTCCTGGGTAGAAAGAATCAATATTGTGAAAATGACTATGCTACCAAATGTAACCTACAGATTCAATGCGATCCCTATCAAATTACCAAGGGCATTTTTCACAGAACTAGAATAAAAAATTTCACAATTCATATGGAAACACAAAAGACCCTGGATAGCCAAAGCATTCTTGAGAAAGAAGAATGGAGCTGGAGGAATCAAGCTTCCTGACTCAGACTATACTACAAAGCTACAGTCATCAAGACAGTATGGTCCTGGCACAAAAGCAGAAATATAGACCAATGGAACAAGATAGAAAGCCCAGAAATAAACCCATGCACCTATGGGAACCTTATTTTTGACAAAGGAGGCAAGAATATACAATGGGGCAAAGACAGCCTCTTCAATAAATGGTGCTGGGAAAACTGGACAGCTACATGTAAAAGAATGAAATTAGAACACTTCCTAACACCATACACAAAGATGAACTCAAAATGGATTAAAGACCTAAACATAAGACCAGAAAGTATAAAGTAGGCAGAATACTCGATGACACAAATCAAAGCAAGATCCTCTGTGACTGACCTCCTAGAGTAACAGAAATAAAAACAAAAGTAAACAAGGGGGACCTGATTAAACTTAAAAGCTCTGGCACAGCAAAGGAAACTATAAGCAAGGTGAAAAGACAACCCTCAGAATAGGAGACAATAATAGCAAATGAAACAACTGACAAAGGATTCATTTCCAAAATATACAAGCAGCTCATACAACTCAATGCCAGAAAAACAAACAACCCAATCAAAAAGTGGGAAAAAGA